CAGGATGTCACTGGGGAAATGCAGCCAGTAAGTATTGGAGAGAACATACAGAAATCCTCCAGACACGCAGGCCATGCAGTCCACGGTAGCCAAATAAGGGATGTAATACCGCTCGTCATTTCCTCTCCATTTTACAAAGTAGGAAATTATTATCACAATGTTTCCTATTATTCCCACAACGGCACCCAGAATTGTCAAAACACTGTTTGAAATCAGGGCTCTTCTGTAGTCTTCGTAAACAAAATAAAAATCAGTTAAATTCTGATCACTCATCCTTGAAATGTATTCCTTACCATATCCGACTTAAATTTGAAATTTGTCCAAAACAAGTGCATGATAAATATGTTATATGACAAGAACACTTTTCAGAATAAGGAATTTAACATTCTAAGGTTATACTTTTCTTATCAAACGTAGCATTTGTACACAAACAATATCCTTCAGTCCGATATGTGTCAGAGATTAGATCAAGCTGTGTTATTGTCTCTCCTTTTTACAGAAAACCAATATGGATTTTCAATGTTTTGACTCCTTTTTCCATCTCGGACCAATCTCTTGTTTCTAGGAAGTAAGGTCAAAAAGGGGGTAATGACGTTTAATCACCTGTTGTTATCAAGATATTGCAATGTCTTTTTCCCACCTAAACGCATTAGTCTGACATTTCTGGGGCATTTTTGACAGCAGTCAAAGACTTACACCAGCTGTTGTGTTTTTGAAATCATCTTAAAGTGAGCACTTTTCATGTCACATAAAACTATTTACTAATATTGCAACCGTGACTATATACTTTAAATTATGATACTAATTGGTTATTTGCATTATATATATTGTATATCGTAATATGTTTAACAGAAAGTGTTAAAAAAATAATAGGGCCTGGGTATATACATGCATATATAAGATATAAAGTCGCATCATTAAAGATTGACAGGATAAAAATCAGCATAGCAATCGAAACATTTTTAAACAATGATCCTATTATTTTGTATACAGTAGCTTATCTTGATTTCACACGACTTTTTATCTTATAACTCGGCCAGGTCACATCAGTAGTACGGCTTAATTGGCTTACATGAAAATATTGAACATTTAACAATGCAAATAATCTATATCATTGAAATCTTATGTAAAAGATGATATTTCAAATATGAACACAAAACTTTATTTGACTTGACTTTAATAAAGAACATTATTTTTTCTTTTTTAACCAACACCAGATGCATTTTGAGAACTCAGCTCTCAATTTGACATCAAAATAACCATATATGATGGGGTTAATAATATGGTTTATAAACACAAAGCGAGAAAAGAAAAACCAAATGAAATACTGGGATTCTGTGAAGTCTAAATAGTTGAAATTTTTCTTACTGTATCTGAGAATCAATATTACAAGTGACGGTATATAGGACAATACGTAAACAACAATAATTGTCAGAAACATAACATTCATTGTTGTTTTCATTCTTTCAAGCTTGGAAGATGATCTAAAGAGTTTCATTCCATTTCTGAACGTCCATGTTTTTCTTTGGCCAGGACTCTTTTGAGAGTATAATGTATCATTCTTGCCATCTGCGATATCATCCGTTTCATTTTTCGCTGTGGAGCTTGAAGGAGTTATTTGTTTAGTAATTTTATTTTCACATTTGTCTTTTTCGTTTGATGATCCAGCGCTACAATGAGTTGAAGATTTGTTCGAATCTTTATGTTTATTGTTCTGAATGTCTTCATCTGCCTCTATTTGGTCTACAAAGGCACCAATTTCATTATCACGAGGAGAACACAAATTGTTGTCCCTTCTCTGGTCAATTACAGTAATTCCAATAACGGAAATATTTGCACCATCGTTTTGCTTACCATTCCCACAAATATCTCCATTTCGCTCTAATACTGTGTCGCGGACGTTCTTTTCGCTGTAGTCGTCCAGACTTATAAGATCTGTTCGAGAATTTCCTACCGTCTCGAGTGCATCGTCCGTTTGCATCTCCTTTAATATATCATTCAGCCATACTCGATGTTTTCCATCAAAGTTAGAACTAATACTATTTTCGATGTCAGAAATGGTGTTGTCGCGCTTTCCACAGAAGGGTAAGATAGTCTTGCATGTTTGTGATGTTGAAAAAGAACTATGGATAACTTTGATGATTGGAAGATAAAGAGCCATGCAGACTATTGCATTGGTCACTGTAAGAAAGAGTAGAATTGCACTGTACGTTATTGCCGCGCCTGTGTAATCTACAACAAATACACACATCCTGGTGGTGATATTTCTTGACAAGAACACACGGTCGGTACTTTTGATTCCAGACATTGCTAGCGATGGTGCAGCATATAGAGTCGTGGCTAGCAATGTTACCAGAACGGCAAACCTCTTCCAGAACAGTGTCATATGAGGACCAAAGGGTTTACAGATCAGCAGGTATCGCTGGAGAGCTATGATCAACACCATGTGACCGGAAAAGCCAGATATGAACAACTCCAGGAACCAAATAACACGGCAATGAAACTCTCCCGAAAAGTCAAACATGTATGTGTTTAAAACTGTGTTTCCATATCCATTTATGATACATGCTGTTAGATCCATTGCTGCCAACACAGGGATAAAGTAGCGCTCAGATTTATCCTTAATGCGAAAATAATAAATCACGATAATTATGAAATTTCCTATGATTCCCACCGCAGCTCCGAATAACGTCAGAATGCTACTTGCCAACAAGGCATTGGAATACTTCTCATATACAATGCTATAATCTGTTGTGTTTCCCATCAGAGAAAGAATTGGCAAGTTAAAAATGATTTTGGTTCGAGAACACGTTCATGTCAGCTTATTTGCACACTTTAATTTAATTTTTAAGTCTATCTCAGTGGCTTTGTTTTTGTTTTAAATTTAAAGGTCAAAGATGTTTCTTGAAGCATTTTTTTATTCAATTTTTGTCAATATCCGTTGCAAATGTAAATATATGTAAATTTCCGATGTCGATCTAGACATATCATTCAGAAAAAAAGAACATCGTTGCATTAAAGTCTCCTTTGGGCCATTTGCTGTTATTAAGGATTTTTAAAGGGCATACCTTAGAGTACACTTTCTCAAAAAGGTACGCGTATGTGTTACCGAATAACTTTGAAATTTCGAGTTCTCTGTTAGGCAATATTGGCGCACCTAAAATAAAATATTTTTACTAGTTTAAAAATAGTTTGTAACTGAGTTACATAAAACAATAGAATTTTTGTAATTGATTTAGTAATGAATATATATTATCAGATAAATTTAGAGAAAAACCATACCATAAGATATTTTTTAAAATCCTCTGGATATTTAATTGCCTGTGAAATCAAATGTGACATTATCAACGATTTAAAACTATTTTTTGAATACTTGGCAAGAAAGAGATGAAAGATTTGTTTCAATAATTAAGAAAAGAAACAAGGATTGCATTCTGGATTTCTTCAACGTACGAAAGCATTATGATTTAGATAAAAAAGACTGTATTTCTTATGATACGTAACAGAGTCAGCTTTCTGAACAATAAATACATAATTTTAAAAGGACAATAAAGGAAACACAAGAGCATGCTCTACGTATGAACAATTTCTAAAACGAGGTAAATTATTGACAAACAAGTTGATGAAACAAGAATATCAGAAGTCTCGTTTAAAGTAATCATATCGTAAGTTCTATGGTCGATACAATGACCTTGTTAGCAAATACAATTTATCATTAAGTCAAATATTGACTGACGTATTTTATACTTAGTCCATTGTTAGTCCATTATTTATGCACTAAATTGACGACGGATTTTTCTGTTATTTCCCAATCATGAGAAGGAGCACAAGGCGGGCGTGACCGGTTAGTGTCGAATGCAATGTGCTGACACACTATATACGGTCGATTTTTTTTCTTTATCAGTAGTTTTAACTTTTATTCAATTTTGTGCTGTAAACGTATAATAAGTTATTTCAATAGAAAAGAAAGTCGTTGCGAGCAACGAGAGGTCTTCCGTCCGATTCAGAAAAAAAAAAGTAAAATCAAACTGAAAAAGTGATTTTAAAAATCGGAAACACGGGGGATCGAACCCGGGTCGCCAGCGTGAAAATCCATTGCGGTACCCATTACACCTTTGGGAAACCGCTTCAAATTAACATTCGAATTACGCGAGATTGTTTTTTTTTTTATTCCAACATACATTACATTTTTTTGAAATTCAGTTTGGAATTATAAAAGGAGAGCTAGCTTGCCAAACTTTTATCAAGATGATCACATCAGAATTTGTCACTTGAGTTTTAACAGTAATTTTTTGGATAGATATTCTGTTAGTGATGAACAGATGATACTGTTTTCTTTCCTTTTTTCGATATGTATTCAACTTTTTATTCCATGCAACTCCATATACAGGCTTGCCAATGTTATATATTTCTGCACTATTGTCGCCATTTGTCTACTAATTAAGTCGGGTCACTATACATTATTTCGTGCCAAACGTCACAAGTAGTTCTTAACGCTATCCTTTGAAATGTTTGATCTATTGAATGGATGTGATAGTTTCAATGAAAATTAGAAATGTATCTTCTTATAACCGGAATTTTGAGCGTTAGAATGTATATTTATCACATTGTTCAAATATAATATCGTATACGGCCAAGTAACACTAAAGCAGTGAATTCGGTAAGATTTTCCACAAATTTTGTATCCTGTTTACCCCCAAAGTTGAGATAAGTTATACGTTCATGAAAAGACTCGAATGTTTCACTGAAAAAAAAAATCACTCGCCCTCCGACGGTGAAGGAATCTGATACTATCTATGTTCAATAACTTGCATTTATTACAAGAATATTTATATTACCTTTGATAAACAATCTTTAAAAAAAATGTTTTTCTTATTTATGTCTTTTCTATTCATTCAATATGTCACAAGCCAGCGTGGAAAAATAAACAGAAGTCAAGTAATACTTCAGAAACATAGTGAATATTAAGTAAGGCAAATTTCGTGAAAAGCTATCAGTTATAACCATGGTTTAGGATAAGTTTTCCCTGGTACAAAACAAAAGATTGTAGTCATCATATTTCCACTTGTAGTCATGTTGCATTCTACTTTGAGATGCAGACAAAAGCAATTTCAATAGACGTTTGAGGAAACCTCATATTAAAACTATACTCAATGCAACGTAATTGCGATGTAGCAATCTAAAGAATCCTTCACATTTCATAAATCTTTTTGGTAGAAGTTTCTTTCATCTAAACGCTCAGCTGAACTTCTAGAACCCGACTTGCTTAATGGCGGAGTTTACGGAGACCGCCGCCATCTTGGACACACTTCAGATTTTTAAATGCGAATATCTAGTGTGTGGATTGATCAAATCTAAAATAAATTGTATATTAGGCTTTTCCAGTAGGGTCTTAATTACCATTTATTACATCAAACAAAAATATTGAAAAACAAAAAAGTTGAAAAAGTGCACATTTTGAATTCACTTCCTGTAGCGACCGGAAGTACTGACGACGCAAACGAAGGCAAAATTGCACATCTATAACTGATGGTCTATCATCTCTAACAAGTCTCCAGTTAATATCTTGAGCCGTTTTCGAGAACATTCGAAGACAAAATTGCATTTTAAAATCAGGAAATTGCCCATAACTTGGCACTGGTTGGGAATTTTCCAACAAACGGAATTTTATATAAAATTCATATAATGACCTATAATTCCTGAAATTTTCAATGAAATCCACTGAACAGTTTGCGAGAAATCGCCTGCACAAAATTTGGTCAGAAGAAAAAAGAATAATAACTAGAGCCGAGCTCGTTGCAAAGCAACGAGTAGGTCTTCTGTCCTGCTTGACCGGAAGTGCATCTGTAACATTCATTTTAAAAAAAAAAAAAGAGTAATGAAGTTCAAAAATGGTTTAATCCTCCAAATCGATATTAATTAATGCAATATTAAGCCATTTTTGGCTACTTCCGGATTGACCGGAAGTGACGTCGACGGACGGAAAATTAAAATTTAAGCTTCCAGTGACATATGTTACCCAAAAACCTGTCAAGAACGGCAAAAATATGCAATTTTTGACTACTTCTGGTTTGACCGGAAGTGACGTCGCCGGACGAATTTTGACGAGCCCATTAGATAAAGCTTGACATTTCTAACAACTTTGCTTCTTTGACGTATTACAAATTCTCAATACTTTTTGAGATATAAAGGAAAAACTTTTGGCCCTTTTTGGCCCTTTATAATAGGGGCCAGCCCCTTATCATTGATATCTTTCGAAAGATTGTGACATTCTCAACAAGTTTGGTTCTATATGTCTTTACAAAATGTTAACATGTAAAAAGATATTGCAGAAAAGGTGCAAAAATGTCTAAGTCCCTGATAGAACTTTTTTCGAGCCATAGCGAGCGCCGACGTGCGGTACTTCCGGAGAAAAGGAGTGGTGTGTGACAAAAGAGCACACATTGCTCTATCATCGCTGAAAATCTCATGTTTCTGTCTTAAGGCATTTTCGAGAAAAATGATGGACAATGAGACCCCCTGAAAATCACTAAATCGCTGATTTCTCAAAACCGGAAGTGACGTCATCAAAACAAAAAATTATATATCAGGTTTGTTTGATGTTCTATCAGTCCTGAAAGTTTCATCAAAATCGAACGAGCCGTTTCCGAGAAATCGTGCACACAAAATCGGTAAGAAAAAAAAACAAAATAATAATAACTAGAGCAAAGCTCGTTGCAAAGCAACGAGTAGGTCTTCCGTCATGTTTGACCGGAAGTGGCTTTCAATTTTTACAAAAATGAGAAATAACGTCCAAAAATGGTTTGATTCCTCTAAATCCATGTTTATTATTGCAAAAATCAGCCATTTTCTGTTACTTCCGGTTTGACCGGAAGTGACGACGACGGACGGAAAATTAATTTTAATGCTCCGAGGGACATGTGTAACCAAAAAACTTGTCAAGAACGGCAAAAATACGCATTTTCAGACTACTTCCGGTTTGGCCGGAAGTGACGACGCCGGGTGTATTTTGATGACTTCAACATATTAAGCTTGACATTTTGAACAACTTTGCTTCTTTGACATATTACAAATTCTCAATACTTTTTGAGATATAAAGGAAAAACTTTCGGCCCCTTCAGGCCCCTGATTTAAGGGGCCAGCCCTTTTTTCGAGATGTCATTTGAAAGATCTTGAAATTCTACACCTTTTTTGTTCTACATGCTTTAATAAAATATTTCTAGATAAAAAGTTATCAGTGAAAAGGTGCTTAAAATTTTGAATTTCTTGATAGGACTATTATCGGGCCATAGCGAGCGTCGGTGTTTCGTACTTCCGGTTGTTGTGATATACTTAGTGCACTTCTCCAAAAGTTGCTCTAGCATTACTGAAAATTTCAAGCTTCTGTGTTAAGTACTTTTTGAGAAAACTGCCGGACAAAGTGACCCTCTAAAAATCACTAAATCGCAGAAAACTCCGAACCGGAAGTGACGTCATCAAAATAAAAAAATATAAATCTAGATTTTTTTATGTTCTATCAGACCTGAAAGTTTCATAAAAATCTATCGAGCCATTCTTGAGAAATCGTGCGTACAAAATCGGTAAGAAAAAAAAACAATAATAATAAAAATAGTGGAAAAGAAACCTAAGAAAAACAATAAGGTCTTCCGCTGAAGACGGAAGACCTTAATAATAAGAAGAAACAATAGAATCACTATAAGGTCTTCCGTGAAGACGGAAGACCTTAATTAGACAAACCAAAATATGTTTGTTGACACAAGTCCT